TCAGATAAGGATCGGTCACGACGCATGGGCTATGAAAGCATAGATGCAAACTACACAGTATAGCCGAAAAGAGCCACAATAAGTAGCATTGCACTATTAAGGTAGACATACTCACTCTCCGCAAGGTATCCAGGAATGCGCTGTACCAAACCTGAGAAATAGGATGCTAACAGCAATTTACTGTAAAGCTGTGTTGTGAACCTAGATGGAAATGAAAGTTTTAGGGAAAAGCTTGTAAGGACTGGAATGAGAAAGATTGGAGTAGAAGGTGGTAATATTATTTTAGTAGGCCGTCAAGAATAAATGATTGGGTATAGGGTAGTACTAATATTGTCAGAAGATGTACAACCAGTTGTCAGAAGTGTTTGTGATCAGAGAAAGGTTTAATTATCAATTGCCCTATTGGTGGAATTGTAGCAGGATTACTGTATCAACTATGAGTACTTGCAAATAAAAGAATAAACAACAAACTACAATTAACAATACTCCATTGATAATACATTAATTAAATAGAATAATATTAGCTAGTACTTTGTATAATCTCCTTTTGCTTCCAAAATAGCAGCTACCTTATCAGGCATTATTTTCCATAACTTCTCAAAAAACTCAGAAATTATCTCCCAATCTACTAGCAATACATGTGCTAGACTCATCTTAACAGTTTTCTTTCCTTATAGGAAGTATATACTAGACTCTTCTTAACAGCTTCCTTTCCTTTCTGGGTATCTCCAATCCTTATATACTGCTAGTACAAGTTCTTTTTGAGCTCAACCTATACATACTCAATAGAATTTGAATCAGAGGAATAAGGAGAGTGAGTAATAAGGACAATATTCCTGAGGCAGTACAAAAAGGCAATTATTATCTATTTATTAACATTAGTCATCTCTCTTTACTGAGTTTTAAGTATTTACTTTTATTCTGATACAGGAGGATTTACAAATCCATATTGCTAAACTATAATTAAAGGAGACTTGAAGAGTATTACATTAGGAGGTTTATGATCATGACCCTCACAGTTACTTTCACAGTTATCTTCATAGTTATCTTCATAGTTATCTTCACGGTTGCAGTTAAGGTGGCAATCACGGTTAAGGTTGGGGTAATCTTGCATTTTTGACAAGGTAGTTTACTAAGCATTTCACGAACAATCCTGATGACTGGCTGTATATGGACAATATGAAGGCTGTAATCAGCCATCTCTTGTACAAGCCAAATTGTAAGACTAAATTATTAGCAGAACTTGGAGTTTAGGGGAGTAATTTACTTGCAGAAGGAAGAAATAATATTGGAGGAAGGGTTGTAGAGCGGTAAGACACTATAATCCAAGACTCTCCTGGCAGGAATCAATGCCTGTAAGATCACCAGTAGTAGAATTTTAGATTTGTGTTTGGGAAGAGTGATTGCAAAATGGATCTGCCTATAGTAGTATTATTTTATTATTTATTTGGCCCAGCATTGTACCAGCCCACCACCTGAATATAATGCTATTATAGCACGAATACCTGTTTGGTAGTTATCATGTATTTATGATAAAATAATTTGAAAGAAGCTTGCAAGTAGGATAAGATAGTGGCCTGAACCATAGACTCATCTATAATTTTAGCCCTAATTTCTGGTATATCAATTTCCTGGAAATAGGAATTATTGAAAGATTAGAAGTTGTAGAGGAAATCCTTGTAAGTTAGTACCAAACCTGTTCTCACACAAGACTGGGAGTATGAAATAGTTGAAAGTTTGAAAGGTTAGAATTATGAGAGGGTTTACTGTATACCTCTGTATCAATATCATAGATATTTAGCATTGTAGCTAAGAAGTACACCAGAGTATAAATAGTCTACCAATTCTTAAGTGCTCATAGCTCTAAGGCTAGGTAATCAAGCTATTTGAAAATTATGATATTTGGACATGTAGTACCAAGATAGGCACTAATAGCCCCAAGGTATCTTAATTATAGTGTAAAGCATCCAAAGCATGTACCTATCTGGGTGTACCCACATAATGACTAAATCAGTAGATAGTGCAGGTTTTTACTTACTAAATGTTGATTTCCTAGGTTGCATGTTTAACTTCAGTACTTGTAAGATTTATTGAGCATATTTTTCAAGGTTAATATAAATTCTCCCTCGCTTTTTATTATGAGATTAACTTCATTAAATACTATTATAGTACAGCTGAAGTCTATACCAAAAATAACAGTAAGTATGACTTTGGATTGCTTAAACTACAGATACTTGAAGCTTAGGATAGTGTATCAAATATCTTAATCTGGAAGTATTAGACAAGAACAAACAGAATAATAGAGGCATATTGTAAGACCATAGTAGTATATGGTTCTCCCGAGTACGAAAAGCTCGTTCGCAGAAAGTACCAGTCCCATCGACCTGTAATCTACTTGGACAAAAAATTAATAATAAAACTCAATTATTTTTATTTTTATTGGGTTTTTGTTTAAAAAATTTATTTTTTTTCATTCAAGAAACCCTATACCCT